CAAGTATTTGCCTTCCATTCCTATGAAGGGTGTGGTTTTAGGTTTACTTAGCTTCTTCTTCTACCTCTCCAGTAAGACCTGCTGGTGGTATCATGCTATAACAACAGCTTGTGTCTTTTCCCTATGCTGAAAGTGTGCTTAGATTTCCTTTGGAGCATCACCTACTTTGTGTTTCAGGAGTTGCCTTCCTCTCCTTCCTCCTCTTATACTTACTGGGGTCCTTCTTACTGGACTGGCTCTGGAGAAAGAGATGAGACTTACATCTGACTAATCAGTATTTTCTTTCCTCTGGCCACAGTGACTGGCATAAAGATCAGCATGAGATCCAAGTTGATCAAATAATAGTCAACCCCAACGTTTTGTGAGAAAGGGGTATTGGCAAGGAGTTCAGGATCATCCATTTTTCCAGTGCCATAGATCTGCATTAAATCTAGTTCTGGTCCTTTGTGGGCAGAGACAGGATCTCATTTCCCTCCAATGTCCCCAAATAATGTAAGTGCAAACGAAAGGCTCCACTATTATTTAAATGCATTGGCTGATTTGGGGGTGAGGCATGCTCCTTGAATCTATATATGAATTAATGAGATTTCATCACATAACTTTCATAAGTATATTATGCATTTCTGAAATAAGTGGTTTAACTAAAAGAGCATGAAATCTAATTCAGAGATCACTTAGTGAAAATCATCTCTAACACATTGTAAAGATAGTATTCTAATTATCTATTTGTTTTATGGATAAAACATATTCTTCCTTACTTTTTCCAGCTAAAGATTACCTCTTGGTTGATTTCACTTAAAGAACTAGGTGGTTTTTTTATGTGCTTATCTTATGAAAAGAAAAAGACTTAATATAGACTTTATTAAATGTATTTGATTTATTTTTCTATTATTAAGCTGACCTTATAATGGGTAAATTATCTGCCCTAGAAGGAAATGGGTCTCCTTCTTGGAATTGTTGCAACTTGTTACTAAAAATGATTCACTAGGTCTTTTTCACATATGGTCTATATTGTTACTACATCTGGAGCTACACAATTTTCTCCAGTGAGGTAATGTTTTCCTTTCCTTTTTCTTTTGTGTGTGCCGGTATTAGGGCTTGAACTCAGGGCCTGGGTATTCTTAGCTTTTTCACTCAAGGTTGGTGATCTACCACTGAAGCCACACGCCCATTTCCAGCTTTTTGTTTGCGGATAAGAATCTCAAAGATTTTTCTGATCAGATTGGCTTTGAACCATGATCCTCAGAGCTCAGCCTCATAAGTCATTATGAGGATTTCAGGCATGTGCCATCATTTCCCATTAAGACAATGTTTTCAAAAGCCTCTTGGTCTAGGACCAACTGCAAAGTAGGCTACTCACAAATTATTGGCTGCAAAAGTGAATTAATCAAGTAATAAATGTGACCAAAAAATTCCCTGACAGGAGATAGAATGGGCATGTTTTTCCTAGAAACAAACTTTACTAAGAAGTTAAATGAAGTAATCATTGTAGCATCAACCAGAGGTTTTAGTATTCTAAAAAATATCCTAGATTTTTTCATAATCAGCAATTGTAATGATGAACTTGAAGCAGTACAATCATTTTGATTCTGCCAATTATTTTTCTAGGATTATAGAAATCTTATTTGGGGCAAATTTTGTGACTTTCCTTTCTTATTCTTTTCACCAAATGTCTGGATCTTTCTCCACATGTCACTTCCAAGATAACTGGTGTGCCCATTTCTTCCTCTACAGCCTCTGTAAATGGTAGCTCTAAGATTCTGGGGTTTCAAAGTAAGTTGTTCCTTTCCATTGAACCTCAGCTGTTCTCTTTGGAAAATTCAATGTCAGATGCTTCCAGGTAAGTTCTGGGCAGTTGGTTTAAAGGTACACTACTTAAAGAATCCTCTCATTTCAGTGCCCAGGTGTGACACCCACAGAACACACCATGGTATTCCAAAATGACTTGTGAAAGTCACCCACCTTCTTGACTTGTTTTGACCAAACTTTACTTTTCACTTAATAGAACTGTGACAAAAAAGAGGAATCAAAACACACGGGGATCACAGAGGCTGTTATGTTTATTGTGCAGAACAGACAGTGATAATCCACTAGAGAAATATTTTTCAACAAGCAAGCGATTCAAAGTACAATCATAGACAGCAATTCTACATGAAGAACAAAGAATAAAGTTAGGGACACTCAAAGGAACAGGGAGAAAGCCAACTGCAGTTAAACGTCTTGATACTTTTCTCCTGCAAACATACCTAACTTGCAGAAATGGTAGAAAAGTTAAATGTCCAGTCTTACTTAGCTGGGACCAACAACAGCAAAGAACAGTCCTATAAAATTTATCTCCCACAAAAATAAACTATATATATAAAAATTTTATGATGTTCTTACTGTTCCATTGGCCACAAGCCTTTTTTTACTTTTTCAGTATGAAAAATGAGGTATACTGGGACTTAAGAGGTAGTAGTGTGTTTTGATTGTACAACGTACAGGAAAATCAAAGAGTAACTTCATCAAAGATGGAAATTGTTTGGTGCTCTGAGTCTGGCCAACATGAGAAATTGATTGAGTTTTATGAGCTGGCCAATGAGGTTTCTAAAAGGCCCATCCAAAGATATGGAATGGGACTTTTATTTTTCTGAACCACTGTTTATTTGCTTATTTAATGCACAGTTAACAGTCTTGTTGAGTTTCAGTTCTCTCCATAGCCCTTGGGTGATTCGCAACAGTGAGCAATCTGCCAGTCTCAGAGAGGTATGTGGCCTTTGAAATTACCTCCCTGAAGCGGCTGGAAGAGAGATGGTTTTGAGTTTCATTTGGCTTCAGTATTAAAAGTCATACTGACACAAGCCGTCGTGAGAAACTACCTCCGGCCCCAGTGGATAACACCATGGTAAAAAGTCAGCACACTCACTAGGAGAGAAAGGCATAACATCTCTACATAAGAAGCATTCAAAATAAATCTGGTTGAGACATAGTACAAAAAAATCACATTTGAGTAAAATATATGAAAATATCTGTCAAACATTTTCTTATATGCCACTAATCTTAAAAACATATTTTCTGATTGCATTAGGCAAAAGCTGAGCTTGCTGCATCTTACCTACACAGCTTCAAGTTTCTTTGAAGATTGGTATTATGGTATTTCGTTTTTTTTTTGTTTTTTTTTTGTGTTTATTTTTTTGTAAAAGTAGGTAAAAATGTTTTCCTTTCTATCAAAATGTATTTTACAAAAATAATTTTGATGAAGTTTGAACTATACCAAACATGGAAGGGAACAATACAAATCTGCAAATAACAAGTCGATTCCTTTTGAAGTCTGGAGGTAGGTCTTTGCAAGTCAATTAATCCATTTCCTTAAACAATCCACTTGAGGTACAGACTTAGAGGGTAATATTCAAACATTACAGTAAAAAGAAAATTTGTTGTTTTTCTGTGATGTGTTAGTGTGAATGAGAAAAATTATCCATAAGAACTTAGGAGCGACTTGGTTGAGAAAAGGAAAAATAAAAATTCAAGTTAATGTAGAAATCTAGTAGAGAAGCTGAAACACGTATTTGAAAATTTTAATTAAAAATATCATAGGAAAAAAATACATAGCCACGTGGAAACAAGAGAAAGGCGATTGTTTCTTTCACTGTAATGAAGTGTACAAAAAAAGAATTGCAGATGATCAGAATCACCTACCCAGTAAGTTTTCATTCTTGCATTGCTTGTATATAGCAGCATGTAATAAGAAGGAGAGTGTAAATTCATTGTAATATTCAGAGGTAGTATGAGTAGTGGGGATATTGCATCTCTGGGTAAAAGTGCAGTTGAATGAAGAGATGGTGAACGGAAACAAAGTAAAGCACCTCCGCCCACCACCTTATGTCAAAACATATTACTTGTGCTACCTGAAGTAACACATAGGCTTCATTTGAGGTAAGTGGTATTTCATTTTTTTTTTCACGGAAACTGATACATAATGAGAAAGAGAAAGAAAATGAGACAGACTGCTTTTTTTGCTTTGAAAAAAATTGTCACCTAACGATTACAAAAGAAATGTAGATTTTGCTCCTCTCACCTCATCTTTCAGGTGAGTTTATCATGATTCTGTTGTACCTTTTTCGTTAATTACAAAGAGGATAATTTTACTTGTCTAGGTTCCTTAAATGCTTTGAGGCTGTCAAGTGTGATGTATTGCTAAATGGCTTTTGGCTCTGTAGGAAATAGATTTCCTGAAAGTGAAGTGTTGTTCTGAAAGGGGGAAAAAAAAAAGAAAACTCATGAGAGCTAAGGAGTAAATTTATTACTCCTGTGGATATATGTGATATCCATAAATAGAAGGGTTGGCAACATTTATTTGCTTACTTCCCTTTTGGAAAAAAAAAAAGAACACAACCTTTTCTGGTGTGCTAGCTGAAGGAAAGTATTACATCACCATTTCGTTTCAGAAACAAAAAGTTTTTTTAAAAAAAATCATCAAGTGTCTACAAGATTACACAAAAAAGAGAGTAGTATCTAGTCCTTATCTTTGGTGTTCTAAAACAGAGGATTCACTACAGGGGCAGAAGGGAATAGGTTGGGGTGGTATCTGAAATTCGTAGGGTCAAACCCCACACTTCTAGATGAACAAATGTCCTGATGTCACCAATGTGACACTGCTTTCTTGTTTGCAAGCAGTGCAGTCATTGATTCAATCAACTCAAGAGATTTTTTTTTCTCACCCACCCACCCATCCTGGCTTATCAGATCCACAAACTATTAGTAGGTTAAGAAAAAGGAAAGAAAGAAAAGTCATTACAAGTTGCATTGTTAAATTGTGTCCCCTGTGTTTACAGCAGTTTTTCACTAAACCTGGGACTGTGAAAGGATTACAAAGAGCGTGATTAATATAGTCCTTTTCAAAGTTATGTGACTTCTCCCCAACCCCAGCCCCCCTCAGCTCCCCCCACCCCTCACCCACCCTACCCTGCCCCACCCCGAGGAAAGTGGAAAGACCATGAAAACAGACAGTAAGTGGTCACTGCAGTTTCTTCTCCCTTGGAAAGATCCAACTGCTGCTGAGGTAGAAATCCAATGCCAGCGTCCCCTAATCCTCCTCGGCGGACTCTTGTGAGGATGTCTCTTCTGTCTCCTCCTGAAATACACAGGGGGCATAACCGTTATGCTTGCTTTAGAGGTGGCCACCATGCTGTGCACACAGTGAGAACTGCTCCTGCAAAGGTCCAGAGGTGACCCATTGTTATTACTTCAGAAGAAAGTGCCCCTGATTGGCCAGCCCTTGTTTCCCCTCCTCCCCCCCCTCCCAGGATTTCTTTCTCAGTAATTGAGGAATCAAGGTGTTGTTTTTTCCCAGAGCCCTCATTAGCTGCTGCTGACATAAGGCTCAACATTGTAGTGGCTGGTCAGCAAATTCAATTGTTTGCTGTCGGGAGACTGTCCGGGCCATGAAAACTTACTCACCAATTAGAGTACAAAGAAATGGATTAATTTTTCCCGACAGCATGCCAGTCATCAGTTTTTTTTTTTTTAAACAACCAGCATTGAAGTACAAAATAGAAAATCCAAGGAATCCTTTCTTAAAGCATAAAGATCCAGATTTGGATAAAGGTAGGCTATGCACTAGAGGTGCATTGAAGGACTGTTTGATCCCTTTGACAGATGAGAACAACTGAGGCTCAGAGTATGTGCACAGAGTATGCCCAGTTACAGGGCTAGGTTTATACCAAGTTAGCCTAGGGTGAACTCATGCGTGCTGACGAGATGCTGTTCAGGCAAAGGGAGGCAATGGGAAAACCACCAGAAAGAATCCTAAAAGTGGGCTGAGAATTTCTTTTCTAAAGCTGTTTCTTTGTGGTTGCGTTTATTAAAGTACATTTTGAGATAATGACTGAAGTTTGGCATAACTTTTCCGTCTCAAGACTAAATCCACCCACACCAGCCAAATGTTTAATGGTTGACCCACCAAACAGAGAAAATCTAATCTATATGTTTTTGCAGGCTCTCCTCTCTTTATAAATCTAACTCCTCCTTTGTTTTTCCTTTTTCTGATTCTTTATGGCTCTGGAATTTGTTGGGGTTTCTGCAAGCCGGTTTGAGCTGTAAAGTTCCCTTTGCCTTTTGCTTATTTAACAAATGTGCAGTACCTTTCAGGACATGGGTGGTAAAGCGGAGACAATAAACATTTCTGATAAAAAGCGTCGTTAGTGAGAGGATGATTTTTATCAAATTGCTGTACACTGTCTCTGAAGACATGTGAAAAAGATCTGGGGGAAGAGGTAAACATTTACTCCTGCAGCAAACTGAGCCCCTTTAAGAATGGCCAGCTTAAAACAGCTTATAACAGCCTTCATACTTTAATACATTTGATTTTCCACATGGCTTCATTTTGTCTGGGTGGCTAACTGACACAATTTATACCTCTCTTCCTTTCCCAGGTCACTACAGTACACCATTCAGTAAAGCATGCCTTAGAGCTTGTCTGCATTATATGACCAAACTTCCATTCATTAGTGTCTGAAACACTTCAGCTGTGAAGGAGCTCCTAAATGCTACCATGTGTGACTCTTTTGCGTAAAAGCAGCAAATGGGAGGAAAAAGGCCCCCACGAATGGGCACACTCATGCTCATATGAATGTGCACACACGTGTGCATGTGCGTGCACACACACAACACACACACACACATACACACACACACTGCCTCTTTCCAGGCTTGAATCACAGCCCACTGCTTACTGTAAACCCTTTGCAAAGGGTTTCAAACACATTCCCCCCCCCCCCCCCCCAGCCCATCCCCAAAAGACTAAGAGAGCTGTAAATCCTGGGAATAAACACACATACAAATGAATGGGTTACAGCTTCAAAAATATAACCAGGGCAGCATCAAGCCATGAGATTTCACACCGGTTTTGTTTAGTCTGCTTTGGATTTTGTGGGAAATGTGGAACGTATACAGCTACCTCCTCTCTTCTCAGTCCGCAGCCCCCTCTCCACCGCCTCCCCCCTGCCCTTCCCTCGCAACCATGGGCTTCACATATTTAAACAGCAGGTTTATACCTCTTGACAAGGCAACAGGCCATGACCCTGAGATTCTCGGTGGAGTCTTTGTCACAAAGGAGGATGTCCCATGATCAAAGCCACGGACAGACGAAAGGGAGACAAGCCAAGGATCAGCTGCCCTGTGACCTTGTCTTTTCACTTAATATTTAAATTCCAGAAAGTCACTAAGCTGTTCGGCAGATACACTCTCTGTCCATTCCCCAGAGACTCATTTCTCATTAGTGACATGAGGTGGTGGGTTTAGGTTACTGCGCCAAACCAATCCGTAGCATGAAAGCCGGCAGGTATATTTTATTCCGCCTTTTCTCCGTTAACAGATTAATAAAATTCAGTCAAGCCGGAAATCAAAACAAATCGAAACAATCCCTGGATCTAGCAGTGATAATTCCATCTTTAACTGTTTGATTTTCTTCTTCCCTCTGGAAACCAAAGTACCTCAAGATCCAGAAGGAGACAAGAATTTCAGGCCATGAACTTACAAAGACCTTGCAATAGATGGAATGCAATCCGCTTCTCAAAACATTCCCATAAGCTTTACTTGGTCTGATCTCCTGAAACTCCAGATAGTCAAAACCCTTATACACAACTCAGCCAACCATGAGGGTCCCTCCTATTGTTTCCTTTACTTAACAGTCCTTAACACAACATGGGTAGTTGTTTTATTTATGTATCTTTCCACTGACCTTGAAACAATCAACTAGTACTGGGAACATAACTAGGAGGCCAGGGTGGGAAGTCTCACTCCATTAAACTTTCTGGTGGCAATGTGGCTCTCACATGCATGGCATGATGGTGATCAAATGTCTAGCTGGTGGAGATCTCTCTCTTCTTGCCTATAGCCTCACTGGCTGCCCTCCACAGCAAGGAAGGCATGGTTGCCAAGCAGACTATGCTGGTAAGGATGTGACAGCAACTTTTTTTTTTTTTTTTTTTTTGGGTCTGGTTGTGGGGCTTGAACTCTGGGCCTGGGCATTGTCCCTCAGCTCTTCAGCTCAAGGCTACCACTCTACCACTTGAGCCACAGCGCCACTTCCGGCTTTTTTTTTCTTTTTGCTTATGTGGTGCTGGGGAATCGAACCCAGGGCCTCATGCATGCAAGGCAAGCACTCTACCACTGAGCCACCTTCCCAGCCCCAACGACAGCAACTTTTTTACTTCTACTAACCCCAGTTCTTACCCCTCCAGGGACCTGGTCTTCTGCTACATGTGTGTGGCTGCTATGCCACAAGTGTCAGAAATTCAGGGAAGGAAAATCTTCCCTGTCAGGAACAAAGATGAAGTTAAAAAACAAACCAAAACCTGAGTTCCTCTAAGTGTCACACAGGGAACTGCTGTGGTACCATGAATGGACAGAAACAGGGGACACTGATGACCAGCAGGTGACTGATCTGGTGCCCCTAAAGAATCTTATTTCGGGGCTGGGAAAGTGGCTCAGTGGTAGAGTGCTTGCCTTGCATGCCTGAGGCCCTGGGTTCAATTCCTCAGCACCACATAAGCAAAAAGAAAAAAGCCAGAAGTGGCGCTGTGGCTTAAGTGGTAGAGTACTAGCCTTGAGCTGAAGAGCTGAGGGACAGCGCCCAGGCCCAGAGTTCAGGCCCCACGACTGGGACCCCCCCCCCCCCAAAAAAAAAAAGTAAATACAAAGAATCTTATTTCCACATCAGGATACTGGATAGTAAGGACCAATAGGCTTTGTTTCTCTTTAGTAACTTGGAAGACATGGCCATATGCTATACACAATAGCTTGCCCTTTCAACTGTTTTAAACCACTGCCTGATGTTTGCAACATTCTGACCAACAGACTCCAAGGACGGTGCTGAGGCCTTGAAGTAAAAAGGAGATTGAAGTGTGTGACCATAATAACACGTGTCTCATTAGGGGCTAGTTGATGGGGTGGGAAAGCTGAACTGCAGCTCTCAGGTTAAGAAGGTTTACCTGTTGGAACAGGGTTCAGGAATGTTTTGAGGAAAGGACTTTTCAGAGTGGAAGTGCACAGTGACATTTTTATAAGCAGCAGCCATAAAACCTCTAAACACCGAACAGCTCCTAGCCTTTCATGCAGCTACTTTACAAAGACAACCGAGTGTTGAGCCATGCTGGAGTGAAAATGTGTGTGTGTGTGTGTGTGTGTGTGTGTGTGTGTGTGTTGGCAGAAAACTGATGGGAGGGGAATTGAGAATGTGCAGGGTTGGAGAACTACATTTTTTATTTAACTAGCAGAAAACTGCACACTCATTTTGCCTTCATTTTTCTTTTGTTTGGGGAAAAAAGGATTTAATAAATGTAAGTCATCCATTGCTTTGGCTAAGCTTGACAAAAATGCAAGACTAAAACTACAGTGTGCATACACTGCTGTTCTTTCAAGCTGGCGTCACAGGAGGCATGTGGTGCCTATCTTTGAGTATACTTCAGCTAAGTGATTCAAAAAGGAGAAAGAAGCCAACCTGATGCTGAACCTCATCTCCTCATGCTTGATGGAATCATAAATGCCTTGTGTTTGATCATGGATCTTACTATACAGGCTCCAGTGAAGATAGGCTGTGGAGGAAAATTTCAGTATTTAAGGCCGGGAGCCGACATTCCGAGTTTTATTTCCAGAGGCAGATTAAACAGCAAGTCTACCTTGGAAGAGGCTAGTAAATCCTAAATGGAACTGGGAAGTAGAAATGCACCTTTTGCAAAACTTCATGAGTTGGGTCACCATGATGCCTTTCTTTGTGCATATAAGATCAAAGAAGTCCATGGCAGCTCTTTTGGCTCAAAGCTAGTATTCTACCATTTGAGCTGAACCTCCACATCCCTCTTTTTAGTGGTTAATTGGAGACAAGAGTCTCACAGACTTTCCTGTCTGGACTGGCTTTGAACCAAGATCCTTAGATCTTACCCTCCCGAGTCACCAGGACTACAGGCGTAAGCCACTAACACCTGGCTCTGCCAAGATTTTAAGTATATAAAGTTTAAATTTTTGCAGACCAGAAATAAAATTTCAATTTAAGGATTTTGCCAGTAAATCTGCAAATGCCTGGTAATTAAGAGAGAGAAGTTACAGTTGAATGATATTCTTTTTGTAATGTCA